AAAATATATATATAAATATGTACGTATACACTTTCGTCCACAAACGCACAGTTAAAATTACACACACGCCCGCCCGCGTGCACTCACAATCACGCGCCAATAATAATTAGAATAATGCTAAAATATTAATAATAAATTGTAATAATATTATATAATACTCGATTTAGAATTGTGCTCTAGCCGCAGAGAGGGGGACTCATCGTTATAATATCGCCACAGTCGCCGGTATATAATATGTACATCGCCACACAATATGATCAGAACGCCGCGCACGAGCACCTACCGCCTCCGTCCAATTGCACTTTGTAAATATATATACTATATAATTATAGTATGGGGTGAATCTAGGTATGGATTTGGGGGTAAAGGCCCTGGCCAGGGAGCCCGGAGCGGGGCCTCGGCTACGACGGCAGCTCGGACGTCGAGTCGGGCTGCGCCCCCAGCCTCCTGTCCTCGTCCAGCGAGCGGGGCGTCCCCTCCTGAGAGCAGTCCTGTCACGGGCTCCCGGCTGCCGCTTCCGCGGGACTCGTCCGCGGCCGCTTCTCCTGCAACCCGTTGACCATGTTCTCGATCGACTTGAGCTCCGCCGTCGCCGAGGAGCCAGCCCCGGCGCCACCCCCCGCGGGGCTGGGCGAGCCCGTGGCCGGTCGGGGCGGGGGCGAGCGCGGGCTGAGGGTCGTGCCCCTACTGCCCGGCGTGACCGTCTCGAAGGCCGAGCCGTGCGAGGGCGCGTGCGACGGCGGCAAGCTGTACGGGGCGAACCTATGGCCCTTGAGCTGGTGCAACGGGCTCGCCAGGGGATGCGGGTAGTGGCCGAAGAGCGCCGGGTGCTGCGAGGCCGCCAGGGCCAACTGGGCGTTGAACAGCATACCGGGCGTCACACCCCCGTGAAGCCCAGCCAGGTGTCCCGGGGGTAGCAGGTGTCCCGGTCCTGGGTACAGTCCCGGCACCGGTGGGTACAGGTAAGGTATGAGGGGCGGGTGCAGGGGCGGGCCCACCGAGACGTCCGGCCGTGGGCCATCGGCCGCCCCGACGTGGTGGCCGGCGGCACCCGGTCCCGAGAAACCGCCGCTCTCGGAGCCCGAGGACTCGGAGCCGTCGCCCCGGTCGCTGAGGTCTCGGTCGCGCGGGTGGGGCGTGTCCGGGCCCACGACGTCCAGCAGCTTGTCCTCGTCGTCCAGGTAGTCGTTGCCCGAGTTGGTCGAGGAGCGCCGCTTGTCCGGCGAGCCGGGCCCCCCGAGGCTGCCCGACAGCCGGGAGCCGCTGCCCGACACCGACAGCAGTGCCTGCCTGCTGGAACAAAAAGAAGACACGCCGAGTGCGAGGGTCATTACGGTGCCACTGACGTACTTACACATTATTACATAATATCAAAGTAAAGCAGTTTACAAAATTCAAGTATAGAGAAAAAACGCAAACCAGCCGTCGATGTCGATAATATGTTGGACGGGAGCGCTCTCTGTCGGTCTCCAGTTTACGTATACCTTTACCGGTGCGTTGTGTGCATACATATATATATATGCATTTATTATGTTAGTGTACCTACTTAATATCATTGTAACGCGTACAAAGAGCCAACTGCCACGTGATGAGCGCTAGCGTATTTGCGGCATTTTCACCTACAATGTAGTATACAATGTATGTGCTTGCACTGCACAAGTACGAGGTACTGGAGCGAATTATCTTAATTGCGCCTTTGGCACCTTTTCAGCTAGCCGTCTTTTTTTTTTGCTAAGTATATATATATACGTACACATTATTGTATGCTACGATAGCGGCTCGAGTAGCGCGATATGTGTCTGCACGCACGTGTACGTACTATATACACGTATACGTGCTCACCTACGTACTACACTCGCGGTAAAAGTTTTAGCAAAGTAGTTTTATAACTTATCCTTCGCCAAATGAACTTTTCATGTGTGCGGCAGGCTTTCAAACGGTATACCTGCGCCGTGTAACACTATTCCGGGCAGACGTGACTTTTAATAATACCTACTCGGCAAGTCGTTGAAATTCGATCTTCATAAATTATTCGGTGTGTATATAGGTACGATGTAACTCGATTTGAGGTTGGCAAAGCTACTAATGTATACATTTACGTGCGTAGATACATGGATGTTCATTTGAGTAGCTTTGAATTTTTTGTCGATACAAACTGGACAGTCAAAACAAACATGTATACGCATTGACTTTAAGAGCTGGGAAAACTCTCTCGATCGAACAAATATTTATTTATGAAAATTACTCCATGTACATTTAAATAAAGCATAAAGCAGAAAAAAAGGAAAAATTTTCAACCCAAACATATAAATGATTGAAATTTTTTCAAATATTGAACATTCGGGCCATCATTTCTTAGTATTGACGGAGCACACGCTAAATGGCTTAGCTTAAAAATCAATGGCTTTCCAATACAATATAAACGAAATTTATCTCGAGTCAATAAAATTGACGACCATTTCATCGGTGCTCGAAAAAAGTATGAGCATGAATATGCAACGACCGAGCCGAAGTATCGGGGATATAGCACCGAAGCCTGACTCCGGCAACCATACAAGATAATATGTAAAGCACGAGATGCAGGTGTATACGTACGTACTCTGCGTTAACCAATTGACAGTATACGTGTAGTTGAAATCCAATTACTGTGTGAATCCTCTCAAGACTACCAGCAGTAATAACAACAATCGTGAAAGCTACAGCGACAACAGCAAACTACATTTCAAGTCATCGTATAGCCACTCTATTGTACGTACCTAACACTGATGCGTCAATGTGCAAGCTTTGCCCCGAGGATTACTTCGTGTCTAACATTGCGATTCGCGCCTCTCGTAAGCTTGCCTGTGACAGCGCACACGTACACACGACGAAGGTATAATTCGATAAAGTACATTTTGTATAACACTATTGATAAAGCAAATGTACTTGGTGAAAAGAAAAAGAAAATTTTCTTTTTTTTTTTTTTTAACCAGCATCGGTGAAGCCGAAACACTGTTTCTGTTATCATCGGCAAAAAGGGGCTACTTTCACCGCGAAACTAGAAGCAATGTATTTATTTACAACGACAATATTCTTGGTCGACCCGTAAAAAAACATCATATCGGGTGGTATTACGGGAGGATTATCGCGTTACTTATTCCGCGCTCGCGTGTTCACGAGACGCCACGAGAGCTGTGTACTATCAGCAGCTCCCCTAATGCCGTGTAATGCGATTATTGCACCAGCACGTCGCCTACAACCCTTATACGCGTATGACACGTGTAGGCCGCGCGTCCAACGAGCTTGCAAGCACCGATTGTACCCACACGTGTCGACCAACGTATTAACGTTTACCTATGTATACTCATTAGGCAGTGACGCAATTGGACGGGCCTTTGCGCGTATAGGTGTATTTAGTTGAAAAATGCGACGAAAACAGCAGCAGCTGGTGTGAAACTAAGTAAGTATACAAGAGTTTACGAGTGCATGCAGCTAATCGATAGTGCACTAGAACTCCACGGGATTCTCCACGTATATGGGTAATGCGTAAGGGGTTCAGCGTGTACTTTGTCGAGCTCTCGTTGCTTCGATTTTTCACCCGTCCACCGCTGACGGAAAATTATTTACAAAAATATATAGATATATCTGCAGTCTGAAAATCATACGCGTATTTTGTAATCAAGGACTGTTTGTTGTCCTTGATGATACAGCTGCAAGGGCTCATAACGAGCGAAGAGACGAAAAATGGGGCGCGAATGAATTATAAATAAGCCGATCGCGGCGTACACCGTACCGGTATGTTTTACTTTTTTTTCCCTCTTTTTCTTTTCTTTCGAGGTAATTGAAGCGAGCGTATACAATACACCCACACACGGAGTAGGTAGCACGAATGAGCTGCGAAACACGCGGCGGTGGCGCAGTAGGTATATATATGTATATATACATAAAAACCGTATATAGTACTCGCAGAGGGTGGAATAAGCTGACGCGCCGGGCTTTATTATTATGCAACCTCGTCGTGTTCTTTCTCTCTCTCTCTTTGTGGCTTGATATAAAATTCAATGCCTCCCCATCCAGCGGCGCGCAAGTGGCCACGTTAACGATAGCGCCGCCCCCGAGGAGCATCGCTATGCTAATCCGATGATTGGCTGTGTTCCAAGCCCCCGTGTAGCCGCCGCTGTTGGTTCAAAGTGTATACGCGTTGCGTGCGAGCTGCTCCTATTTGCGCCATCCACCACCGCCACCACCCTTAACCGAAAGCATAAGCCAAAACTAACCCTTATTCTAATTAGGAGCCGCAACACGGCGATGCGTCCCTGCTTTGCATATTTTCTCGATTAACTCGCTCGAGACTCCTGTACTTTTCAGCCTTTGTACGCCCGCAGTATGCTACGTACCTACCTATACCTACGGATGTATAATATGTTGCTGTTGTTGCTGCATATTTTCACGGGATTATATTATATATTTACACGCACGAATTCCGGTACTGCCGGTATATACACGGTGTAGCCCGCGCATCGGTACATTAGCCTCGCCCCTGATGCACCATTACGTTTAACGAGATTGGACATTTGTATTTAAAACTGGAGAAACGGAGCCAGGGCGCGGTTCACTTGTACCCGTGATGTGATTAAAATTTCGCTGTAAAATGGCGTTTGTAAAAATTAAGAGCGAAACGCGTCGTGCGTATACGAAAAATGATAGCGTCGAGTGCTCGGCTCACAGTGTCTAATCTCCCAAGGGGTAGGGTGGGTAAAATTAAAATCACAAGCCAGCGCTTTCGAAGTTCCCTGTACTTTATATCTCGCCTCCCCCCGGCTGCCGTTATATTGTGGCGACGCGAAACCTCCGGGTGACAGCCCCGGAATCGCAAATTTCCTTTCGCACGGCCCCGTCTTCAAGACTCCTCCAGCCGAGGGGTGCCGGCTCCCTTTGGCCGCGCTCTCTAATTCCGAATATACATGTATACGCACAGAGCACGCCCCGCTGCGATCCGATCTTTTCTTTTATTGATTGATCGAGGCGAGCGCTATACTTTGGCCTGTTTCTTTTTTCGTCCCTCTTGTCTTTTGTAGCCCGGAGAGTAAAAGAAACAAAAGCGCAGAAAACACAGAAGAGAGCTCAATTAGCCGAAACGCAAGACGCGAGCGCCCGAGCCCTCGAAAGTCAAACGACGAGTCGAATTATCATCATCGTCGTGGTCATGATTGTGATGGGTTCGTTGACCAAGACTTTGGCCAAAAGGAAGAAACAAATAAAACGGAGATCTTGTACCCATATACGAGTATATACAGGAATAGAGGAGGAGAGGATGGCCCGAAACACATATAGCTGGGCCCATCAAACGGAACGAAAGGTCTGCCGCCCGGTCAAGCCATGCGTGAAATACCGCGCGGGTATTATAATGCACGCGCCATATTGGATCTCGTTGGTGCGCTTTTTTTGCGAGGCTGAGGACGAGATTGGCGCGACAGGAGGACCAAGCGCGCGCCGCTGCATTTTCAACTCTATATGTAATGGCTTTGCGCGCATTGGCAAAATTATACAGTTGTATACCCGCCAACTCGATACCAGTCTCAACTTTAACTTAGTTTTTTCATTATTCAAAGAAAACGTATAGTACAGTAGGTAGGTATGTACATCGCGTTATACACAGATGATGTAGATGATGGTTGTACTGCCCATCAAACGAAGCTCGCCTCTCTCGCTTTCATTTAGTTGTACATCAGCTGGGTGGAAGTGCGCGTGAGCGCATCAGGAGCCCGTTTGTACGTGTACCTATACGTTATATTCCATGCATACGTAACGCAACGTAACGTCATCAAAATCCACTCGAGTTCACTCGCGAGAAGCCCCGTCCCCCGTATGCGTACAACAGAGTATATATACGCGGTCTATCTGCGTACACACGCTGCACAGCATCACGGATGGAAGACAGAGGCGAGTATACGCAGCCGATGGGCTCTCACCCCCTCCTGGACCCATTGGCGCTATCTCTTTGCGGTGGTGGTGGTGGCGCGCATAAGCTCGTAAACTCGCAATATTGAATACAAATGAGCCGGCGCGGGTATCCTCCTCTCGTCCCCGAGCTTCCGAGCGGGCTCCCCCTGGGGGTGCAAATGAGCCCTTCCACCACTGCTGCCGAGCGGATATACACACAAACGCACGTATGCATACACGTACATACGTGGGTGTGGGTGTGGATGTCGAAACGGAGATAACTGGAGAGGCGCCCCCTCGCCGACTCGGATTTTATGTTCCGGGAGTCGGGGGAGATATCCCGTATAACCAGCCCCAGTGCCGTAGGGTGGAAGATTAAAAAAAAAAAAAGGAAAAAAAACGAGAGAGAGAGAGAGAGAGAGTTAGCTGGCGCGCGGGAATCAATTGGGTAGGCGAGTGTAGGTACGATTTACGACTCGCCATACGTCCCGCGTGTTCGGCTCCATGGTCGTGCGTGTTTTGCGGAGCGCGAGACATTTAGGACCGTTTGCGCCAGAGTCTGAGCGAATCGTCACATTACAAGTGTTTTATTGCCGACGACGTTTGTAACGTAGATCCACACTCGTAACAACTGACGTGTATAGGTATACTTACATAAAATTCACGGGGTGATTGCTGATTTGCGTTTTTTTTCTCGTCATTTCAAGGAAATTTTATATATAAATGTGGGTATTGGCTTCGACTTACTTTTTTTCCCGCTTGCCCGCACCTGTGTCCCTAAATCCTTTCGCGAACGGATTGTTGTCGATCTTCAGCTGCGTTATCTGAAAATAAAAGAAAATAAACACATAAATGTCAGACGATAACGATAAAAGCTACGATACTATATATCTTTCCCCGCACTTGGCGGCATCGGTACGTACATACACACACACAGAGCTCCATTCAGTTAAGGGTTTTTGGTTTCTCTCTCTCTCTTGGTGAGTAATATATACTCGGAGCAAAACACCACCCGCGTACAGACCGATCGCTCTGTTTTCGTGCGAGCAGTTGCGCTTATCTAAACGAAGCGATGATCGAGAGCGTCACTTTCGAGTGTCCGCGGCTACGGCTCGGGATCGCTCGTCACTGTACATTATATTACCGATAAGAGACGACTCGTTGGGCGACCGAATTTTAGATTCATCTGCAGCGCGGAGTAGGAGAGTTCGGTGGAATTCGGGACGTATCTCAATGAAAAGCGCGGCTCTATCAAGTTGGCGATGCGCTACAACCCTCGCGCTCTAAACGACAAGAGATGGACGTTGATCGAGCGAGCGGAGGAGGGAGGAAAGAGAGGGCAAAAAACAAAAAGTGGAAAAGGACGAAGTAAAGGGGGAAAGAAAGAGACGAGCGGGAGAAGCGCGACGGATAGGAGAGCGCGCACGTGTGTACTGGGAGAAGGGGAGAGATGCGGCGAGGATAGGAAGGAATCTTTAATGCGAACCTTCTGAAAAATCGAACAAAGCCAAGCCTTTACGATCGCCGGGGAGCGATAAATATGGCGCACGCGGGTGTGCAGCGCACCCCACGAATGTAACGCGTACCGAGAACCGGGGCTTTCCAGGAAAGCTGCACCTATATACACGCGCGCCGATACCCATACTACCCCACTGCGCGCAGGCGACGCTGGACTGTGTACTGCATCAACTCAAAGTTCATACATTATTATTATACGTGCACAGTAACCATCTCGCGTTGTATCGCTCATTAGCTCGGCCGTCCGATTTTTTTCTTTCTCGATTTCTCGCGATCGAGTATAGGTACGGCTGCTTTGGGTTGCTATTGGCTTGGCGCATCTTCCGAGCCAAAGCTTTGACGAAACATTCAAAGTGCTTATACGTACGAATATTCAGATTAGATAATTTGGACTCTCGTGTGGTTTTTTGGTTTGGATTGCGTGACGCAACGGGACGCGATACGAAGAATGAAATTTATCATTTCTTCGTCGACGCCGGCAATCGATAGACCCCCTCGCTTTTTTTTTTTAATTTATTTATTTCAAAGAAATGAACTAAGGCTTACCTTTTCGTTTTGGTACGCCGTGACTGCGATGAATTCCGTCTCTTTGAACACGTAACTCCTGAAGGTGGAGTAGGGCAGCTTCAAGATGTCGTTGGCTCGGACGAGGTGAAACCTCGGCTGATACTTGTGCATCGAGTTCAGTATCGTCTGCAACAAAAAGCAGAGCTTACATTGGGACAGACTGTTTTATGCCACTCGTATACGCTATCTCTCCCATTATCGATGTTTATTTTTTGCTTTCTTTCATACATCAAATAAATTAATTTATTATCCACGCACGGATGAGTATAGAGATAAATAGGTATATAGAGCACGTAGAGATTGCAACAATAAATATCACATCGAGCCACATCAAGTCCCGGTTTATCCTCTACTCACATTGCAGAAGGCAACGTCTTTGCATTGGCGAATAAAATAAGTGGTCTGCGCGTATCTGTATACAGTGGACGTAGATATACATAATGGGTCGGCAGAGGCATGAATCAAAAGTGCAGATGTTGGTATAGGTAGGTATACCTATATATACATGTACAACGTGTGCATAGGAAGGCGCGAATCGGAGTAATTTCCGGCCGAGCAGGCCCCCCGTGGCGCTGGCTCCGAAGGTTGACCGGCACTACCTCCTCCACCTCCGTACAATTTATTCAACGACCATCAGACCAGACCTGGTGATGCCGTGATCGATCTAGACGCTATACACGGCCTCCGAAACCCTCTCCGTCCATCCATCTCTGGCCTCTTGCTCGAAAGATCCGGACTTTAGCTTTGAATAACGCGATAAGCCTTTCGATAACTTTTTTCTTTTTTTTTTTTTTTTTTTCATACATCATGGCTACAATACATGCCCCATCCTACACAGTAGTCGCGCCGGTCATGTTATTATTGTTATTGTTATAAAGTACTTATCGTTTGGCGCTTAAGTTGAGCAACAGAGTTGCGCTCAATAAAATTTGCCGCGGGGCAGCTCGAGCGTCCCCTCGTAAAGCCGCAGTGAGAAACATCATGTATAGGCGCGTTTACGACTTTGGCGGTGATGGCTGGGCTTTTCGCGGATGCGGAGGCACGTTTAGCGGGAACGGAGAGAGAGCCAAGATTCGTTTCAAAAACGAGCCGATAAATTATTACCTTCGAGTCGTCGTTTCTGCAACTATGCGCCGAACGTTAAAAATCTTTAAACAGCCACGATGACCGCCACTCTCCCTGCCCTTTTATTTATTTTTTTTTCATTATTACTTTGTGGATTTTTCGAGCCATATCGCGCAGGTACCTATACGTAGTACCGCGCTCTCAAGAAGCCGTTAAGCAGTTGGGCCGGGCATAAAAACGGGCACTCTGGCCGCGAGGGAAATAAATACCTAATTGCGCGTGCTCTTTTATCACGCGAAATTTTTACATTTGAAACGCGAGTACTATGCCGCTAAACGCGTTATTTACGCGCATATGATTGGGGAGAGCGTTTATGGGCTACGATGCCGATGGACAAAGAAAACACTGAACAGACGCCACGATGTTTAATTGTGTGCGGCAAATATATATATACGCGGGCGAGGATAAAGCGAATACAAAAGGAAGTCTGTACCTAATTTTTTTTTTTTTTTTTTCCTCAACGGCTTATAGCAGCGACGGAAACGACGCACGAAAGCCCACCCGACAGCAGCTTTTGTCGATAATACAACTTGTATTAATACCACACGTGTATTAATATACTACAGCACGCACAGTGTATAATATGCAAAACTGTTTATATGTGCCTATACGTGTAATACCTACGCGTTACAAGTAGCTAGGAGAAAAAAAAAAAAAAAAAAAAAAAAAACATATAGAAGCCTTGACGGCCTGGTATGGCTACAGCAATAGGCGCATGAATTTTTCATCCGGTGTAATTCGATCGAGCAGCGGAGCTTATTTTTATAACGCAAAACTTGGAGTGATACACATGTATAGGGTATATAATAGGTGCGTGGACGTACAGACCAGTAGAAGATAGTTACAATGATCGGCTGGCCAAGGTTGGCACTCGTGTGTGTGTTCTGTATAGGATTTTCCTCGAGTGTTATTTATATATTGCATACGCCAGTTTAAATCATCGCCACTATATACTCGAGTACTTATATTTATTATATTTACCGGTGATGGTATAGTAGTCAAGTGTAGGTGTATATCATGGACGAGCCACGAGGAAGGAAAACATTTTTCACCCAAAGAGAGAACGCGACACTCTCGCCCCTGAAATCGGTGGAAAAGCCAGTAAGAGGTATGGAGTCGAAAATTTCCGATGGTTTCACAATGTAATAACGATTATCGCGAGTGCAGAGCGCAAAGATAAAGTGATGCATCGGAGTACCCAAGTAAACGCGCGGACCGGCGTCGGCGACTATCGAAGAAGGAGAAGGAAGAGGAACAGCCGACCCGACTGTCTCGTGCACTCTGAGGCTGCTGGAGCAATAAATAAAATATATGTATATATGCAGCCAAGGGGCACCGATCCGAGTGGCATTGGCGGTATAAGACCGTGGCGGCGCGCCGTCTCCACCACAAAGGCGAATAATTAGCGCTCGCCGAGATAACGCTAATCTAGCCGTTTGGCATTAGCCTATCAAATACCTCCACCGATGTGCACGTATAATGTGCATACACTCGCACTCACGCGCTACTTTATGCGCTATTTGAGACGTTTCTCTCTCTCTCTCTCTCTTGCTCTGCGCCTACCCGATTAAAATGAATCGGTTGGGCAAAAATTTTAATGGCGGGCAGATGTTGATTGACCCCTAAAAAGTAGCGTAGCTCATGTAAGCCTATAAAATTTTTAAAAGTTGGGCAAACTCAAGTGTTTCGAAGCCAATGAAACGTATATTTGATGCTACATTTTTTACTGCATCTACTCAGGGTACGTGCTCGACTTTTTTCAAAACTTTGGAATAATCACGTTATAATTATTATATGTATTGAAAAAAAAAGTTTTCATTGTTAATTGGGTTCTGCTTGATCGAGTTATAAAAATTACATTCCTACCTTTCAATGTATACTGGACAATATTTCTAAGTCTCGAAAAAATTTTGAAAAAGACTTTTGGTGTCGAGCTGGAAAAACAACTTTTTTTTCCACTTTCAATTATCAAGTAGGTGCGTTAAACGGAGCAGAGACCTCGCGGTAATCATCAAAATTACGACAAATTTAGAGCCAATTTCGAAGATACGCGCATTATTATTTATGTATGTATAAGTAACATATTTTTTGCACGTGCAATATTTTACGATTTTCATGAGGATGATTAATTCGTAGGTATATATACATCAACTTCTGCCGATGCTCATTTCCACGATTCATTTAACCGCGAGATATCTCACTCGTGCAACCCCCGGCCCGAGCTCTGCTCATTAGGGCTCTGCAGCATAAAAGAATTTCCATCAGGATTCACTCAGCCATCGGATCTATAGGCTATACAGTAAATATATACCGTTCTTCGATGCTCATCACCTGTGAGTTCAATTAGAGGAATACCACCGTACGCGCTGCGTATACACCTACATAAATCAAATGTGCGATTATTTTTGGCGATAAAAATGTTTTAAAACCGGCCTATGGCAATCTTGAAGCATTTGCAAGAGTAGCAGTAAAATCAACTCCCGTGGACGCGCTGTCTATGAGAGTAAAAAAAAAAAAAAAAAAAAAAGAAATAACATAGCGCTTGATAGTGCATACCTGAGTAGTGTAGGTATATTTGTACGTAACAACGGGCGTATAGGTGTATACCTACTAATTTGGAGTGTGGGCTCACACACACGTACACCGCGATGAAGAATTGACCGCGCGGGGCGAGATAAGTGAGTCGAAGAGTTAGCTACTGCTGTTAGTGGCGATGGAAAAAGAAGAGATCGAGGGGCGGGGGGAGGGGGGGGAGGCACACAGGAGCCGACGCGGCTAATGACTCTGTCCGGGCTATCTCCAAGCTACCTGGAGCCCACCTACTTGGAATCACGAGAAAGAGCAGGCCCGAGGTGCTTTACGACCGATCGAGCGATTCTCCGGGTCTACCTTCTCTCTCTCTCCTGCTAGCCATACCTACCTATATATATATACATACATGCAGCTCTCCTTCTCCAAGGGGTAGAGAAAGAGGTAGGTATACAAGGCGCCGGCGTCCATCTTATATACGTGTCCTGTGTGTGTGTATATCGCCCTCTTCCTCTCCTTCGCAGGCCGAGTAAAGGGCCGCCGGACACGCCCGAGCCTGATAAAGGGCGCGACTCGCCTCGTTTTAACGAGCTTCAGTCCGGCACAGCGCGTCGGCGCCTTGCGAGCTCTCCCCCCCGGTCCTCCTCCGCGCGTCCTATTCTCTTTCCCTCTCCGGCTCGCTATGGCAATTTGTTTGTTTTCCCACCCCCTTTCTCGTCCTTCGCCACGTATAACCCTATACCTGCATATAACGCACGGACCTATTGAATGCATATTATCGAGGACGACATCGGTAACATTCAAGTCGCGCGCGGGCGATGCCAAACCACACATATATAGCCGTGTGGGCTTACCCTATGTACATTCATCATCATCCAGCTCCATACCCATGCACAGCTTTACTATTTTCATCAATTTCACTCTATGAATCGTTGAGCGGTGCCAATTATTTCATTTTACAGTCGTCAAAAAGGTGAAGACGTACAAAAGTACATTATACATTTTTTTTTTTTTTTTTTTTCACAAATCAGGACAATAATATTTATCCAGAAACTATTGATGGTTTCATCGAGTAAAGATAACTAATTGAGTAACAACTCGGGCTATTCCGCCTGAAATCGTAGTTCTACGTTAAAAATCAGTCTTTGCATCACGTGCTTTTGTATGAACGTAAAATTTTAGAAATATTGTGTACGTACGGTACTACAGCGTCAAAGTCCATCAAAAATGCATGATCCCAGCCAGACAGTACAGTCCCGTACCCTCGACGACACGCAGAGAAAAAAAAAAAAAAAAAAAAAAAAAACCAAGCAATCTTGCTCAAAACGTCCAGGTCTTCATCTCCGTGTGTACACTCAACGAGCGTATATTATACACAAGAAACGAGAAGTAAAACGTAACGGGCAGTGGTCCGGCATCGGCTCTCTTTTCCGTGTTTTCTCTACCGACGAGGGGGCCCTTTAATAAACAAAGAAGCCATTCATGCACGGGAGTAACGC